TAAAAATGTTAAAGGAATTTAATGCCAAAGTTGGAAGGGTGGAAACAAGAAAAAATTTGCTTAGACAATGGTGCACAAACACAACATATTTCCATCCTTTGCTGTCTTGGCCAGTGGATGATGTTTCACACAATGCCCAGTAAACTAGACCAACAACATTGGCACACTCTAGTAATGGAACATGGCAACATTGCTTCACACACATATTGATAGTACAGTACTGTACAGTAATTGGTGAACACTACGCCTGATAAGGTATCTGACAATGTTTTAACACTAGTTATGAAACAAGGTGACATTGGTTCAAAAATATTGGTAGTAATTGGTAAATGCTACACTTGGAAAAGCAGTCAGTGACATTGGAATTCTCTGGTAATGAAACAAGGCAACATGTTTTGAAACATGGGTAGTAATTGGTGAACACTAATAATGAAACAATGCAGAGCAATGCAACTTATAATGGGGACCCAGTGTATTGCTCCTAAATTCCAGCACTGCTTCACAATGTATGCACACACATTCATTATGATGGTCTTCCCAATAATTGGAATGTTCCCATACAGCTGATGTAATTTTGTTGTGCAAAAGTTTGAACTTTGCAAAACATTCAATGTTTTGTTCATTCCTTTGCTCTGCCATTGCTAATGATTGTTTTCTGTATATGCTATTACACATGACATGGGCAAATAGCCTATGGATTGGATGTAGATTTGAGGAAATGTTTAGGTTATTAACTTTTAACCAATTTTTGCTACTATAGTAAGGGATATACTACACAACCAATTAGAGTTGAGAAAAAGAGTATGGGATTGTGATAGAAAACTGGAATATTTATTACTCAGTAAACTAATTCTTCATTTAAATATATCATTATTGTTAAAGAAAAGAGTATAGCATTGTTACAAAGAGCTGGGATATATGAATTTAGGACACTGTTAATTCTTCATTAAAAAATAATTGTCCTTAGTTTCCATGTGATAGAATTATAAAAGATTCTCTTAAGTGTTGTTACAGTGTAAAAATATATAGCTCAATGAAAATAAATTTACTCTGATCCTAGAAAAACAGATAATACAACATTTACTATTTGACAAGAAACTGAAGAAAGCTTGTGATGATAATGACTCTATATGTCCCCTTTGCAGATATTAAAATGATTCATAAGGTGTAAATCAAAGAATTAGAAAAAAAACCAAAAAACAATAATACCAAAAAAATCTCGAATTACAGATGTTTCATGATTTTTTTTTAAATCCATCATAAATTACATGAAAAACTAAAATAATTGACAATGAACAATTTTATAAACACCATATGTTTATATGCGAGTTGTTGATACAAAAACATATCAAAATAATTCAGTTGTCACACAAGCCTGTAAAAACTTGAATTTTTTTTACATCTGCTTTCTCAAAATTGTAACAACCAAAATCAACCTTAATAGTTACTTTTGTTTTACATATTGTATCAAATAGTTAATTCACATTATTTTGTATTATATTAATATACAAAACAGTAATGGGTCACCTGCAGTGTTTAATGCCAAACACCATGTACATTGGTATATGGGATATTGAATACCTTTTAAGTCTAAAGCTTATGCAATTGTTTAGAAGTGATGAAAGATGTATTCAGTATCAGTCACCTATTGCAACAATACTGTGTGAAGTGTACACTTTTCCAGACATTTAATATTATCTTACATGATCATAAGATTGTTTATAATAATTCTGGAACTTTAAGTTTTGTACCTATAACTATGCAGTTACTCAAATGGTTTGTAACCAAGGGAAATTAATACTTGTAATTAATTTTCAATTATCAGATATGTACTTAGCCAAAGTAAAAATCTAGTATTTTGGATATTCTTTAAATAGCCTAAATTTAAAGTAAAATAACACAAAATTAAAATAATATAAATTTATTTTGGAAATTAAGACTTGATTATAAAACTTTATCTTACAAAGTTTGAAAATCATTAGGGAATACATAAGGATGCTTGGAATATTTTTCATGTTTTATTACATAAAAAAACCTGGTAATTTAAATTAGTAAGTATCTTTTGTTACAACTACAGCTTAGAAACACAATGCTTTTACTTTGTGAATTTTATTAAAATTTTCTATATATATCAGGTCGTCAAGAAATTAATGTTGCTTTTTTTAGATGAAAAAACCTAAACAACTTGTATATCAAAATAAAACAGTCTCTATTCTTATTGATGATGCTTTTCTATCTTACAAT